AACTCCTCCGAGTCCGGAGGAAATTTAGCCGGGGCGCGGCAGCTCCGCGCCGTCTCCTCCTTGACCGATGTTCCCGGTGCCAACGCCAAAGGGGCATTTCGCTCCCAAGCGGCGGATGTTCCCGGTGCCAACGCCGAGGGGCATTTCGCTCCCAAACGGCGGAATGAGGTTGGAGTTCTTCTCTTTTTCCTCCGAACCTCCAGCTGTAGGAGCGGGGACTTTTCGTTCACCCGACTCCTCTTCCTCCTGTCCGGAGGCATGTGCAGGCACGCCTGTTCTTTTCCACGGCCAGGAATTTTTCCTGACTAGCGTTGGGAAACAGGCCGCTTCTCTTGCCGTTACGACCCGTCTGGTCCTCCGAAAGGCTACCTGAATCGCCCTCGTGGGCAGAAGACTTCGTTTTATCCTTCTTTTGGGCCTAACGCCGAAAGAAAATCCGAAAACATAAGGAGTAGGGAAACGAACGTGCACCCCTCTGCGAACGCACAAGGAAAATGGCGGCGAACATTGTCATTACGTCATGATATCCCGTGATGCTTTGCGATTAAAGCTTTGTACACGTGCGCCACCTAGCGATAAGCATAGGAAATACTGCATAAGGTAAATGATATACCCAAATAGGGAGTGTGCAGGTATAATCAAATATATATAGGTATTGAAAGAAGCAATGTACTGAATCTCTTTGTCATTTCCATTTGTGAAAGAGTCCGGAACTCACGGTAGACAGGGTAACTGGGTTGGTCCAATGAAACCAAGGGGATGGTCAGGGCGGGCATGGCCGGAGTGGTCACCGTGGAGACGGCCGCCTGGCTTGTCGCCGGGGCGACAGTTGCCGTGGAGACCGGGACGGTGGTTGCCACGGCGGCAGCGGTTGTCGCGGCGATGACCTGGGTCGCCACCGCGGCAGGGTCAATGACCTGCTGGTACTGAGCTACCTGCTGTGACCACTGCTGCGCCTGTAAGATTCCAGGTGCCCACAGCTGTCAGTATACAGCTGTGTCAGTCACTAGTTCCATACAGGATAACATAGGCAACAAAGGATTCATATTCTCTATTGTTCTAAATATGGTACCATAAAAAAAGGACAATGACAATGAAATTCTGACAAAAATAGGAGTACTACGGTATTTGATTCAACCTTTCAATGGCCAAAAAAATGTTTCTTATAAATCTGTCCCGTGAAAATTTTCAGGAAGGCCATATTACTTTACAAAACAAACACTTACAGGAAGAAGGAGAGGAAAAGGGAGAAACTACAAAGTAAAAGTACACTATAAGAAGTTTTCCACTATCTTGCTATGTCTACTAAGGTGAAAGCTTAAAGCTTGAAGGAACTCACTGCACTGAAGGTACTGGAAGTTGTGGAGGAAAGATGTAGTGACATGATCAAAGGTTCTAAACAAGTGAGAGTTACAAAGAATAGGCTGATTTATATTCTGTCACTTAATGACCACTACTACAGCTAAATTATTACTTCTATATGCTTTCTGTGGTACAAGCAAGAAGTGGGTATACTTTGTATACTTGTTTCTCATTCAAGGGGTACCAAAAAAAATTGCACATATCCAATTGCAAAAATTTCACATACTTCATAAAGAAATTGGCAACAAATTTCAAAGACAACAAATACACAACGAAATCAGACTTGACAAGCACTAAAAGGGAAAAACACATTGAATTTTACTCAGGTTTACAACACCAAAAAGAGAAACTTTATCCAAAGAGAAAAAGACGAGAGCCAAACTTAAACTTAAAGGAGTTTCCACACCAGAAGAGGACGCAGACAAGCCGTTGAATGGAAGCAAGCGTAAGGAATTAACCCACCTGTCGCCCGAGCTCTTGTGCTGTCATTTCACCCACCTGCAATGCCAGTCTCTCCTCCGTGGTGAGCTCGCTCAGCTTCTGCTGCTGCTGCATCTGCGTCACGATCTGCTGCTGGATGATCTGCTGCTGCTTCTGGAACTGCTGCGCCGCCTGCACCTGTTCCAGGGCAGTCTGCGCAGCACCCGTGCCTCCTGCAGCTGGGGAATACATTACAGGGTTCCATAAATGATTTCATCAGGTTGATTAATAATTGAATAGCAAAGTTCTTTATTCACAACTAGTCTTGTTTAAAAAGAGCTCCTTTCCTTGAACAAGTGGTTTAAAGAACTTTACTATCTAAAGTACAGAGTTCCTTCAGCTCACTTGTTATCCAGGACTACTATTGGCTTTAGTTAATATCTTCCCCCAACCGCAACATTTACTATATATCTGTGGGCATCTCTTGCCAATCTGACTGATATAGTTTGCATCAGTACAGCCCGTTAGTCATGTCACATTCCTGTTCTAAACCACCTGAAATCTTCAATAATGAAATATTTGTGCTGCAATATGAAGAAAACATTGCCATTGGGCATCGTCAAGTGTCTGCCTCCGTAAATTACGTGGCCACAGTTTTTGCCCAGACGTGCCCCACAAACAACCTATCTTGCTTCTACACCCTGGTAATGCAGTGCTTGCTACAAAATTTTGCAGTTAAGATGCCCCATTTTCCATTGGGAAATGTTAACTGAGAAGTCCCTTCTGTATTTTGTATATGCCCTGGGTTGAATCTAGGCCTGGACCTGAGCGTGGGTTTAGGTACACAGTACTAGCAGTGCGTTCTGCTGACATGCTGCTAGAGCGTGTGGAAGCTACACGTTAGACTCACCAGCAGCGGCCTGAGCTGCAGCTGCTGCCAGCTGCTGGTACTGGGCCAGGTCAATGCCCTGCTGCTGGTAGTACGCAGCGTAGTCCCCGCTCTGGAAGTACGCCGCATAGTCCGCTGGGTCCTGGGGGAACTGCCCGTCCTGGGCGGCGGCGGCCGCCGCAAACGCCTGCTGTCCCTGCTCTGTACTGTACTGCTGCTGTGTCTGGTCCCATGATTGGTCGGTCCCCTAGAGTAGTGAAGAGACAGATGTCTTCATTGGCCAAACTTAGTTCCACCCTTCAACAATTCTTAAAACCTCATGAAAAAAATTTAACGGCTCTCAGTGGCAAATGTTGACACATTGGCGTACCAAATCTGTAGTGTGTTTTTGCCACACAGAAAGATTAGCCGAAGAGGCTTGGTGGGCGTCACTCCACCGTACAGGTGGGGAAGTCGTGTAAAGTGCCATCACCAAGGGCATAACGTTGGGCCATGGTATCAAATCTGGGACCTATTGGTTCTGAGTCAAACGCTCTAACCGCTGCACCACAAACACCACTATAAAAAAAATCTTCAAATATAAAACATAATATCTTATGTATTCATGTCTTCAAATTACATCAAAACAGTAATTACATTCTACAACTAAACATAAGTGACTTCATCCTAAGGGAAAAAAAGGGTGTGTGAAGATCAAGCTAATAATGTTGTTCCTGTCAACATTCCCTCTATTTCCAGCACACCTCTAAGTTACATTTAGTGTCAACTTACTCAGTGTTCTTTTGAACTGTAATGCTTTCATCTGGCTCTGAGACAGCTATTCCTGATTTTGTTTTACTGTTTTAATGCATTTGCCATGCGACACATCTGTTTCCTGCTTTTTTGTCATGGGTTGACGTCTTATTTTTACTGCAGGCGTTGGCCATGTAGTTGCACAGGGCACATACACATGCTATTCCCTTTCAAAGCACCGTTGGACGCTGGCGTCTTTTAATAAAGTTAATCTAAAGTCAGGGATTAGGCTGGGATTATGAAACTCGACCGCACTGTAGCGTCTCCAAACAGCTGGGGAAACCATAGAGCTGACATTCCTGATGTAACATGTTCCTCCTAACTATGCAGTCTCAGCAGGCTGCCACATACAGACAAATTTGAAACATCAATAATTATAGACACAGACAACAGGCTTAAAATGCCGCAGTTGGACCAGCTATGAGACTGAGACATCGGTGAAGGTTAGACATCCAGGAAGTAAGATACACCAAAAAAAGTTACTCAAGCAACTGGATATGATTTTGGACAGTCAGACGTTTCAGGTAGCATCCACTACCTTTCGTCAGTAACACTGAAGAGTTGTCAGAAAAGCAGGTTTATAAGCACAAACTATTGACTGATATGCAAATAAGTGAAGACAAATTTATGAGACTGGGAGATTTCTTACCTGTGCTTGTGCCTGCGACCACTGAGCGGCTTCTATTGCAGCCGCGGCAACTCCACTTGGGGCACTACTTCTGCAATAAGGGCAGATATAAACTCATTAGAGACTACCTGGGACACAATGTGTACATCAGATGCCCTATCCTCAGAATCATGAACTGTCACACAATACTTTTAATAGAATGACGGTAACCCAGATAGTGAGTGTGTGTAGTAGTCAACTTCAGAAATACAAATTCAAACTTACCCTGCTTTTCCCTGTTTGGCAAAGGCAACATTCACTGTAAAAGAAACAGAAAAAGTTTAGTAATGTTAGCATAATAAGACCTTGCTCACACAAGACTTTACTGATACTTGACGTAAGCAATTGATCAAAAGTGCCTGGTGAAGGCAACAGTAGTGGTTGAAAATTTGATCTCTGTGTAATCTTTGTGTTGGAATAAAGTTCAACATTTCACTATGATTACTACCAATACAGATGAACTTTCATGCTACCTTGTTTCCCATCGATAGCGAAGGCAGGTCTAACTGCCATAAGCACGTCCATCATCTGTGCAGCCTCCTCCAGCGTGTTCATCTCCACGAAGCAGAATCCCCGCGAGGTGTGCGTCAGCTTGTCCTTGATCAGCCGGATGCTGTGGATGTGGACCGTGGACAGAGCGCCCAGCGTCGACCGGATAGTCTCCTCTGTCGTCAGGGTGTCCAGACCTCGGAAGATCAGAGCTGTAAGAGATGAGAGATTTGATTTATCAAAATTGTAACAATACAATACACGTGGGACACAGGCAGCTGTTGCTAATGTTGTGTCCCACACATAGAAGCAAATACGGGATAGACAATACTCATTTTCACTAGAGTTAAATGAGGAAAGTTGTATAAAGTCCAAGGGGTCCAAAGGGTCCAAGATCAGTGGTGTGTCAGGACTCTTGGTTCCGAGTCTAGCACTATGCCGTTACCCACACAGCCCCACATAAGAGATTTAATGTTATGGTTTGAAAAAACTACAGTATATTTTTCACAATGTTTATGATGGTTACTCATCCAGGAAAATTTTCAGTGCTATCCAGCAACCTTCATGTTAAATGAATAGGATAGAAATACCTGTACGTCTCAGTTACAAGTACACTATAAAACCACAATAAAAACAAGGCAACCATACTCTATATAAATACTATAATTACATTGTTGTAGATAGCCGACGTTACCCCTTACACATACTGCTCTTTAACCTTCTAGGGCAAACCAAAATAGAAATGCTGAGGATGTATGCCAACAATATTGGGGATGGCAGAAACAAATACAACATGTACAGATAAGCCCAAACAATCCTTCACTTCGTTGGTAAAAAGTACATCATTATGTGGTAATGTTTAGCTTCATTATAATAATGACTTACTATTGGATGGCTGTGAGCCCACTTCATTGTACCCCTCTCCCTCCTTCAGTGTCTTTGACGATTCTGTGGGAAAACAAGAGCGTTGTTATTTGCTGTGTGGATACAGTCGGTCGCACCCTCGCACTGCACTGCCATGCTGTGGCTATCTGAGCCCTGGCCACACGGACACTTACCAACAGCTTCTTAACAACAATCCTTATAGGACATGCACTGTGGAAAACAGCTTACATCATCTGTCTTACTGTTCTGCTGTTACTTTACACAGAGGGACCCTCTTAGGCACTCCAAGCACAAGGGAGAGACAGTTAATCCAATGGATAAACTATGTTGGAGTAAAAACTAACCCATAACAAAGGCTTGGAAGGAACACTGTGTATAACCAGCTACACAAAGTGCAGAAAAGCCAATGGCACAAAATATATATACCACTTCTTTTTCCTAGTACCAGTAACTACATGTACATCAAGGATCAAACATACATTTTAACCCCACAAGACCATCTTCAAGCATTAAATAAAGATGTGTGGAATGTATTCCAATGACTTGAAGTTAAGCTTATTAATATGCATATCTCAACAAACTGTTCAACCAAAGTCCACAACATGGTGAACCCTGTTCTAGGTGCATAACCATTTAGATACCAACTGCCTTAGACTTACAGCTTGCTTTATATCTTTACCACAGGACGTTAGACTAAACTGTGTTCCAAGCCGTGCTCTTGAACCACAGCATGGAAGTGCAGCTTCCTCGAACGTGGGAATTAGTAGTACAGGAGAGCCGATCCAAAGACAAGACAACCTGTCGTGTTAGTGCAACAACATGGCATTAGCCACAGAGCTCTAGTCCTTCGTACTTACTCCACAACAGGGGTGTTTTTTGCCGCTATGCTAGCCTAGGGGGAGCACTCACCTTCTCTGGATATGCCACATTTGAAACAGTGGTCTCGGCGCTTGAAGTTGTGCACCCCACACTAAAAGAGATCATTTAACATAACATTTTATGTGTGTGGTTATGCACAACAGTTTATTCCACAGCAGTGGTTTGTCACACCTCAGGAAAAGGGTGGATGTTGTAGTTGTGGGCATGAGGGCTAGACAGGACTGGACTGTCGACTTTGGCAAAGCCAAACTGTTACAATCATCCCTAAATTGTCTGCTAAAATCACCCAATATTCTCAGAGACACACCATTCACACAGTCGATTCCAGTCACTAAGGACTCACTCTTACCACCACATCTTTTTTTTTTCAGGCAGTTACTTTGTGTATCAATCTATCACTCAGAAAACATGTTTACAAACACACAACAGTCATGCAATTCTGATACAACTGTTTACCAATCTCTCCTTGAACATTCATACTAAAACCTGTGCTTTTTCTTAGCCCTAGGTGTCTTCATGAAACAACTTGAAAATTTTAAAATCTAATCCACGAATTCTGGCATCATTTTGAGACTTTTCATGCCCTCTTTTTGCATCCACAACTTTGTAGGAACCAAGGAGAAAGAGATGTGTGTGTAGGGGAAAGGGGGGGCACTTATTGTGTAGTAACAAAGAGATTGTACAGATCCACACCTTACTACACTGCCAGTCCTCTTCCTTTTGAGGCTTGGGTGTGCTGTAGTGCATGTTCACACGCTGGCCACGCAGCATCAGCTGGTGCTGTGAGGGGGAGACAAACGATAACAGTCGTCAGTACAGGCGCGGCGCAACACAGACAACAGCGTAATATGGAAAACCCTTCAACCTTGTGGGGGGACAGTTAGTCATTGGTTTGGAAGAGGGAGCTTCTGGGAGTTCCTCCTGCGAAGAGAACGGGTGAGTGCGGCGGTGTCGGGCCTCATGCCTTCCATGCATTGACGGGTCCGTTTTTTAAGCTGCGTACGAGTACATCTCTCAGGGTAGAAGCGGTGGGAAGCACTTCCATGACAGAGCGGAGGGGAGGGCAGAGCTTGTTTTTATTTACAACTGGCGGTTGGTGGACTGTGTTATCGACAATCACAGTGCTTGGTGCGCTGGACCTCTCAGAGGGTACATGTATGTACAAGGAGACCCCCTCCCTCACAGCTCAGACTTGTCAAGACAGATTTAGAAGGTTCAACCTCAACTGCTTCATCTAGAATTGAATATTTGCTTCTCAGCAAATGCGTCTTGCGTTATTTCGCCTCTTGGTAACAACATATGCAACTTTCCTTATGACTATGTTTTCAGAATCTTCTCTAATGTCCAAAAATAAAGATAGAAGCATTAGCTTGGAATTCCTGTTGTTAAGACTAGATGAAGCAGTTTTGGACAGTTCAAACGTAGCACACGAATCCTGCTCGCATCCCTAACCCCATGACTTGACCACCCAAGCAACTTTATAATAACACCCCTGTTGAAAATGGTAACAGTGAAAGCAGGAATATGGAAACTGTCGCCTCCACAGTGTAACATCTGACCACAGATCATTTTGAAGACTGTTTTGGTGTGTTTGGACTTACTTTTTGATTTTACGTCACAATTAAGCAGCATGCTCCCACCCTTAGATGAACTATAGGCTATAAGCTACTGATTCACCACATAACTAACAAGTACTACAGGCAACCCATAATAGTCTCATCTTACTGCACATCTAGACAGACCTGCAACCAAGTCGTTGGTTCTTATCCAATCAGATTTCAGAATACATTAACATCAAAAATCAATTTTAGTTCTACTTTTAGTAAACTTGCAGATCGGTTCAGAGCAGCAGATATATGTGTTGATAGAGTGTTAAACTTTAAAGGAGCACTGACAGAATTTCATGGATACAGAATAGAAAAATTAGAAAAAAACAAAACAAAATTTGGAGTCAGCTATATTTTTTGTCTCAGCCAAAGAAAGCCTAGCCTGAGTGTCAGCCTTGTTAGCTTTCGTCCGCTACCCAAGGTCCGTTGGCGGGGAGCGGACCTTGGGTAGCGGACGAAAGCTAACAAGGCTGACACTCAGGCTAAAGAAAGCCTGCAATATTTCAAACATAAGTTTGTCTTTACTACTTTGACATATATATATTCAAAGGCTGCATAGCTTTAAAATTACTACTAGCAGTGTCAAACCAAGGACCTTCTTGGACAAACTGTGTCTTACTGTTGTCCATTGCATGGCATGGACATGGACATATTTCTGTAGAAAAGAAAACAGTGCTCCTTTATTGAAGAGGTGTGCAACCATGTCACAATGTGATAGGCTAAGATGTCCATGTTGACAGTTATGAGGAAAGTCTTCTTCAGTCTTTTCTTTTGGCGATGTGTCGGCTTTGTAGTGATACTTCTATCTTTGCATTTATGATATTATCCAGCCAATCACATTGTGACATGAGGTGTGATGTAAGAATGTATGGGTTGCTCAGTACTTGAAATCCCATTCCCCCACCTAGCTAGAGCTTTATAACATATAGACAACAAGCACATGCAGATGAAGCAGACTACACTATGGTTTTAAAAAATAAAACGTCTCCGTAACTGGCTTTTTCCCTTTTGGGGAATTCGTTCCCATTGAATCACAAGTGTGAGAAAGCACACAACGAATGAATGAAAGAAAAGGCCACCAAGAAGCTTGAAGAAATGATATAACGTTTCCATATTTTTTTCTTGTTTTTCTTTTTTCCTGGTGATTCCAGTTTGAACACTACCAATGGAGGCTTGACTTGACTTGGGAAGAGTAGTGGACACTGCAGTAGTGGTGTAAACTTATGACAAAACCTGATTCTGTTCCATCCAGCGAGTTGCGTCCTGCAAGTTTTCAAACTCCACAAAGGCAAAGCCGCGGGAGGCACCTGGGGACAGGCATTCAGAACGTGGGGTGTTAGTGTGGGGTCTTCCAACCCTGCGTATTGCGGACAACACTTGTAAAGGCATGGCAGTGCAGGCACTCTACCGTTTTTCTCTTTCTCCTTCTTTTCCTTACAAATTTTTCAAAATTGTCACTCACTGAAGAGCACTCTAAATCACAAAGAATCATACTACTACTCTAAGATGGATGCCCAGCCCTGATACAAATGTAATGTAAAACACATTTCCCCAGTTAACATACTACTGACATTGTATTTTCTGGATTCTAGCCAAGCACGGTTATAGTAGTAACCCCTAGTGTACCCTTGAACCCAGCAGTCTGTACTTCATGAGCTAGAATTACATGGCCTGATACAATCACCACAGCTTTGGCATAACATAGGGAAAGAGTATACTCACCCTTACTCACTGCTCCAGATGCACAAATAGCTATCACCTTACAAAGAATCATCTTTACCTGTCACATTCGTCAAATATGAAACTGGGCGGAAGCGTGCTCAACATTCTCGCTTTACCTTTTCCGGGGGTGCGGACGTGAGGGGTGAGCGCCGCTATGCTCCCCAAACGTGACAGTCTATCTATGCTTCATTGTCACGGCTCCTTACCACAGTCAAAGTGAACAACAAGGTTACTATTTATGATACTGGTTCATTTAGAAATGTGACCCAATGGTGCCAGTTGTCTTTGACAGAGCATTCCACATGAAACCCATCCCTGTGTCTAAAGTTCCCCCAGACCCAACAACATAGTGCTTTTCAGTGAGTGACTGCCTAGCTGCCTGGCCAATGTTGCCATGATGCCTTTTTTAAAACTCAAGTACAATACGAAACACAGAGAAAGGGGACTGCGTTTGTATCTCACCTGTTTCTTTCCTTTTCATGAGCCTGACTTCCTTCAGGGGTGCACCAAAAGCTTGCAGCTCTAAACGGATCTGGAGAGAAAGAGAACAACAATGACTTAGCAAGTTAGCAGTCACTACTAGTATTACCTCCCGAAAGTAACAGTAATTTGAATTAAGTGTTTTCTCTCAAGGAAAAGATACTGAAACTGAAACAATCTTTCAATCCAAGACCATTCTGCAAAGATAATTGTTAAAACTTAGACAGTCAGAAACACACAACCAAAAATATTAATGTCAAGAGGGTTGTGTATGTGTCAAGAGTGTGTCACGTTGTGTGTCGTAAATAAGTCAACTGTGCCTGCATTCATGTATGAAGTCATGTGAACTTGAGCTTCAACTCGACTAGGACAAACCTTTGGGTCCATGATGGGCTCCTCCACTGGATTTTCCAACTAAAAACATTTACAAGAGTCAGATTATGGCAAAACACCTTTCATTTTCTAACAGTACTGTAGAAATCTATCAGCTATTTCCTACTACAAGAACTACAAAGCAGAGTTTGTCATGCTCCCTTGTAAATTGTACACCATATTTTTCAAGACCAGTCTTTTTTTCTCAAAAGCAACTGATTCTTTTCAAGAACTGTCAAAACATCAAGCAACATTATATTCACTGAAGAACACCTTGAACCAACATTTCTAATGGCAAGGGACTCCACTAAATATGTACACATTCCTCCTGTCACTTCCAAAAGTTAACTGTCTGCTCCTCCCTGCCTTGGTGCTGAACTAAACTGACAGTGAAGAATTGCAATCTTCACACTTGAGTCTCATGGGTGAGGAGAACAGGAAAGCTAGGCACACATTCTAACTCTCTCAGGACCATCCTTTTGCCAACACCTGTCTCCAATCATATCTGCACCTGTCTTTGGAGCTAAACCTAACACACACATTTGTGTGTGTGTATCATACTTCCCATACTTTCTACTGGCTAGAAAGGTTTACCAAAAAAGCCGGACAACTCTAGAAAGGACTCTAGGGAACCATTTCCGGCAGTGAACTAACTAACAATCTTATTCCCTGCGCAAGTTGGCCATCCAGAGACAGTAAGATAAAGACAAGCCTTTTTGATACTAGAAGGAGTGAGAAACGACTGCATGTAAACTCCATCCCCCAGGTGGATCCAGTGCCGCACGTCCATCGCCATGTTTGCCAGGTCTCGCAGTCTTATCCTGTGTGATGGGAAAGAACAGCAGGAAACCAGCAGAGATAGAAGACTGTTTTGTAAACACGATGTACACAGCAACTACCAACAAAAATCGCAGCAAAGACAATTCACAACAGGAACATGAATCGTCAACAAACGAAACTCGAAGAATCGCAGAAAAGACCGACCTTGCGATGAAAGTGGTTGGAAGGCTTAGGAGAGAATGAATGAAGGGGAAACAAACGCAGGATAAACCGAGAACTCTGAGAGAGAGAGAAGTGGAGCGGCGTACGGGTGCAGTGCTACAAACCAGCGCCTGTTGTAACACTGGTGAACCACTAGGGTGCAACACAACCCACCGGGTCAGTCCAAGGGACAGCCCTATAAGGCAGAGTGTCATGGATGCCAAATTAGGCTTGAAGTTCCCAATGGATATCCTCTGTCGGGCCCTGATCACGCAACCACAGGTCCAGTCAGGGAAACTACATACCACCTGTAACACTGGAGGAATTCTGAAACAAGAGTCACTTTATGGCAATCCTCCCACTGTGCGATCAATCCTTAATTACCGACAGGTCAGTCACAAGTATCTGAGGGTAAGGGTTGGGCTTTAACTAGCCTGTAGTTGCTGACAAATAATATCTTCCAAAAGACTCGTTCAGTTGACAATTTAATGACTTTTTTGGTTCCATCACTCGTTTCTTCATGTCCGAGGACAAGATGAGAGCATGAAAAGTGGCGACCGTTGACCGCCGGGTTAAATGCACGGATAAAAATATCTGATACATCTCGATAAATCACGCAGCGGGCACCCCGTAAATACGGGTCTCGATTTTATATATGGACGTGTGTGATTCTGGGGTGACATACTCCGGCGCACCAACTGTCAGCCGTGATTTAGACTTAGCAGATGTCCTGTAGTGTTACCCCTAACAGTCGCCAGTCTAAGCCCCCCCTGCCATATTTATAATTACACTCCTATATATAGCAGCCCTCCGCCAAACGGGGGAAGGGTCGTACCTGATTACCGGACGTGCTGGTGACACGATGTTGTTACCAAGGCGAAGACATGTCCCGCCGGAAGTTGGCATAGCAACCGTTGGCGTGGCAACCACAAAGATGGCGGCCAAAGCTGCCTAATCATAGCCCTTGCCCTTCCCAACAGAGTCAAGTCCGTAAAACAAGGGCAAATCATCGGGGTGGGAGTGGGTATCAAGGTCATGGGTATTTTTAGGGCAGATGAAACAGAAGCTGTGAACACATGTCCTCTGACTGGACCATTCACCAGTACTATAAAACATCACTTAACTGGGCTACAGGCACTGGAGTAAGAGCACCTAAGGTTCTAACAGTAAATGTTCAGAGAGAATACTGTAGTCAACATGTACAAGTTTACATACGTAGGTCGAAATCTCAGTGTAATAATAGGCAGAGGCAAGTGATAGTAGTCATCAATGCACTTGGAAGGCCATTTTTTCCTATGTGGCTTTTACTATGCTCAGTCATCATCGGTACGAGACTGGTGGTGAACCCAAGCCGCGGCCACGAGCTACGGGAACCAACCGCTGCCTTCCCATGCAACCGTGTTCCAGCCTGCTGCCAGGGGCAACCGTTGGGACGCGATAATTTATTTAATGGACTCCTGACAGGCCGGGCTCCACTTGTCAGTGAGTCGTTGAGGTGTGATGTCGTAGATGTGACCCGGGCCGGCCGATAACGTCACTAGTAAACATACCAGACGTCGTCACTTGTAAAATCGCCATGCCGACCCCGGATGGGGGTTAAGTGATGATCTATCACGTACACCTCTCGCCGACTGACGTACAGCGCAATGCTGACCGACATTTTGTGCAGCAAGTTTTCCCGCCGCGCAGAAAATATGGAGGGAGCGCGCGATTTAAATCTGGACAATGTGACAACAATCGCTACCCACCACGTGTATCACAGGGAACGTGGCGCAGACCATTGAAGCCATCCAATGGTTAGTAAGACCACTTTTATCCATTGCCCATAAAATTGACACTAAAATATACAAACTTATACGTCCTTATACTACTATCAAACATTTTACAACCATAATCACAACCGGATAGCTTAGTTACAAGGGATTAACTTCAATTATCAAGGCAGAAAAATATGAGCAGCTCTAGTAGAAATCACAACAGTAGCACCATCAGTAGATATAAACAAGATACTATGGAGTTAAAGATAAGCCTTTTGACAGGGTCCTTTGAGAACTGAATGAACGACAAGTGCAAACTGCATAGCATACTGATACATGCATTCCTATGATACCTGCTATAAAGAGCAAAGGCAAGACTCCTATATTTGGACCTCTGACGTCAAGAAGGGACAGGGCACCTCTCTACGGACCAGATAACATGGAGGCTTCAGCAGAGCAGAAATAGAAAGTCCTCGTAAAATGTTATGAGTAGTGTAAGTGTCAATTGTAACGGAAGTGGTCACAATGTACTGTAACAACAGTCAAATACACTGTCACAACTGTTGAACAGTCAATCAATGACTAATTGCCATAGCTCATCAAGTTGAAAATCTATGAAAAGTTACCATTCTGATGCTGAACATCTCTTGCTTCCAGGCACTTCTAAAGGTGATTGGCAGAGTATTTCAACATTTTAATTGCTATGCAATACCAGTTCTCTGTGCTAGATGGCACTGCTGCGAAGCAGTGACTTGGTGACAACTGCAGTTCCTTTGTGCATTAAAAGATGGCCCAAAGTGTAACTACATATCAGTCAAATAGATTATATTGAGACAGTTGACTCCGAAAACTCCATGTTTTCCAACACCGAAAGATTCAATCCAACTTTTAACAGACAGTTCTCCTTCAGATTTACCTATACAAAACACTAGTACTGGTACCTGCCCGGCCTAAATGCTTAGGCCAGGGCTGGACCCTGCACCTCTTCAATTAGATGACAATAACATTAACAGAAGAGCGCTGACAATGTGTGTATGTGATGTATACTGTGTCAGTGAGTGATACTGTGTTTGTGGGGGCAAGTCCCTGTGTGACCGAAGATAAACTACTGTAACTTAGTGTAAGTCAAAGGCCCCAATCTTACCTCATCTTCGTCCACCGACTGTGGCAGCCCCCTCAGCATGATGATCTTGCTGGGCTTCTCACTGGCCGACGTCGGGGGACCTCGGGAGTCACGGTCTCGCTGGTCGTAATCTCGCTCAAAGTTTCTTTGGTCGTATCGCTGACGGTCCTGAAACACAACAACACCTTTGAATAATGGCCATTTTATAATTGTTAATATAGGATACTTACATTTTGATTGGTCATTTGTACCATACTCATCAGTGATAAAATTTCTTTTTAGACTTTTTTTACAATTCTAGCTCCCAGTGTCTGTTCTTCAGATGCAGATGCTGAATTCCACAAGATACACAATCATGACTATGCAACCAGTGTAATATAGCCAGTTGCCATCACGCCATGTACCTGCCAAGCTGGTATGTTATGCCAAAGGGCAGTTATACAGGCTATACAGAGTGCAAAGTACCAAACAGAGTGCAAAGAAAATTATCATGTGTGCACTCTAACCTCATATCTATCGTTTCTCTCCCTGTCCCTGTCCCGTTCCCTGTTGTAGTCCCGCTCCCGATCCCACTCCCTGTTCTCCCTGTTCGGGGCGCGCCGGTAGTCGTAGTCACCTCCCTGGTCCCGGTAACGTTCCCGGTCCCACTCTGCACCGCGGTCCCGGTTCGTGAAGTCACCGTAGCGGCCCTCTCTCCTGTCCCGCCTTCTCTCATCCCTACAAAATAAACAAATGATAATTAATGTTAATATTACTATTATTAACTCTATTAGTAAAAAAACAACAGTGCCTTACTTACTACTCTTCCTGGAGTCATGTACATTAAAATTACATCATACTACGGTATAGTAAATACAACATGACAATTCTAACGTCATTACTTTAATAATTACAATATAGATAGACAACACTACAACTTGTACTAGTACGATATAACAACTACACAATAATTACTTCATGTGTACTTAATTGTAACTACATGTATACATGGTCTCATGATTCAGTCTACAAGTTGTATTCAAGTACAAATGGAACCACTGGTATGATTTGAGTCTGAGCTAACACCTTCTTTGTAAAATTTGCTAATGACTCTTTCAAGTCTTTGATTGCTACTATACATGGTCTCACACTTCAGTTTACATTGTATTCAAGTGCAAATGACCCCAGACTAGTACGATATGAGCGAACGTTTTCTTTGCAAAGATTATGGACTCCCTAGACTATCACGCACTTGTTCAATGTTGTCTTTACACTGGATTTTAAACAAATGACTATGGTAACGATTTGATTTATATTATCTTCACAGAACAATGTTTTGTAAAGTAAACTCTTTACCGGTCAGTTCCATAGTAGTAGTCGTCTTTCGCCGCTTCGAAATTGTCCTCCTCTTCGAAGTGATTTCGACTGGAGCCACCACGACTGTTGTTGTTGTACCTGGCCATTCTTCCTTACGGTGAAGTTTACACAGCTTCTACTTTCTAGTGACTGCCTAAAGGCTAAACTACAGCAATCTACTGAACCCTGAAAAGGAGCAAAACAACATAAAAGTTAGTCACATACAATTACATACATCATCAGAGTATCAGAAATTCTTCAAATCACAAGATACTTACAGAACCCTTATCAAAGTATGCGCGTGATCTATATGCTTGTTTATGTTACCACATTCCTTTAGTTCTTCAAGAGGCTTACCACGGTACAACAAAAATAGAGGAAGCAAATTATTTCAGTCAGTAATACTAAATTTAGATTGTCAAAGGAACAATACTTTCTCACGTTTCTCAAGATTTTGATGACACAGATTTAGACAAAGGTTTCAAGCTGAAGATAGGTATGAAAACACCACATATAAGTACACTTCCTCGGTAAATCTCTTCAAGAAACAACAACGCCCCCACAAGCCAAGCCAAGCTTGCTGAGCAAACCAAAATATCTCGTCCGATTTCTCCGGATCAACCACCAAAACGGCGGTTTCTCGAGGATTCCCTGACAACTTCCTACTTCTGTGGGGCCTTCGATCATCAAAGATTGTCCTTACCTACTCACTAGGCCCCAGCTGAGGTAAATTGTTGCAAAATTGGACGATTTTTGCTGCCACTTTCGCGGGAAAACACACCAGTCCCAAAATGGCGGCTTCGGCAATGATTTACCTCAGTCCCCGATGTCCATTTCCCGGGAGCCTTTGCGCATCTCCCATCAGCCACCGGGATTCAAGATGGCTGCGCCCTTGTGGTGACAGATATTTTGCGATTTTCCTACTATTACTCCAATCTATACCCGTAGATTCATTCTAACAATTACCTGAATTGGAGGATTGATACTTCTGTATGTTGTAGGCGCAGTCCCGGCCAAAGGAAAGGACGTGGACTTGCAACAGTCCTGTTCGATGTGTCTGCCGACCGTCTCACCCCTTTAGTGCATAGTGGGCGTTTTCCTTGGTCCTGAACATACAATCCATGCAAAATGGTTTTCCCACAAAAATACTCTTCTGTACCGGGCAGCTCTGTCGGCGCCCGTTGGCTGTACAGCAGTGCACCAAGATTATTGGACAGTAGCACGTTATCAAAGCAAAGTTTAGTTATCACTTCACCGAATGCAATTGCAGAGCATTGTTTACACAATCATGCAAATACATGTTTGCAAAGTTCAGCTGTTTTCAGGAACTTTGAAAGAGTGGGCATTTCAAGCCATCGCGAATACAGAACAGAGAGGAAGTTTGCACTTCCTTCCATGTCAACCTTAGGGGAACTTCTGAAAACTGCCAAGAACAAACTTTTACTCACAGCAAGTGTGTATGCAGCAGAGCCATTCGTAGAAGTAACACCCGACAAAAAAGAAACTTCAGTAACAACAACAAATGCACCGCAGAAGCAGACTTCAGAGGGTCCCACGCATGTTTCAAAAGAGGATGACACAGAAACTGATGATGTTGTAGTGCCGGCGTGGTTCCTGGGAACTAGACCTGTCCCTGAGACGGGCTGGGAGAGGCTGAGAGATATCTTTGAGATCAAAGAGGACAAGAAACTGTGAGTTAATGCAAATTTACATTGACCTATCATGAAAAGTAGTGTAACAACAAGTTCTAGTATATAGACATCACCAAATAACCAGCCCAATGGGTCCTGGACCTTTTGGCTTAATTGGTTGGTGCGCTGGTTGTGAGCTGACAGCGCAGGTTCAATGGAGTGCACTTTGACATGATACACGGAGCTCAGAATCTTCAATAATAATCAACAAGCATTTAAGAATACATTTGCCAACAGTCTTACGATACATAATATTAATATCTGATGTGTGAGTGCATTTATTTGAAAAACTTAAGTTTTATTAAGTGGATCAAGGAGTATACACGGATACACGGAGTATAATGTCCTTGAGTGGATGTGTGACTTGATAGTATAATGCTCAGTTGAGATGCTGATGAGTGTTTCAGTTTTTTATGACTTGTGTGTATTGTACAGGTACTATGAGAAGTACAGTAGGGAGGTGACAGACTGGATAAACGTGATGGCGGCAGGGTTCATGATTGGGTTTGTGTACGGCGGTGTCCCTGCGGCTCGCCAGGCCAGACTACGCTACATCGAGCTGAGCCACACGCAGGTTTACCAGGGCCGCCGGGACGCAGTGGTGGGTCATATCAGTATGATACTTGATTTTTGTCATTGTAGTAGTAGTATATGTAGAGAATTAATTGGATGCTACTACTAAAATACTAGTAATTGAAAAGAGCTTAGCCACATGCATAATTAAAGAACTAACGTTGCTTTCATCATCACATACATGTATACCAAGGCATTATAACCTATTTCTTTTATTGATTATACTAGTAACTTTTTTTTTAGTAGTAAGTACACGTTTCCACCTTAGTTTCCACCACAAACCCTATAGAACATACATTTACATGTATACTGTAGTAAACATGTATATGAAGTCTACTAGTGAGTACAACAACATCTCATTAAAAAAGTACTAATGGCATTTTATGACTGAACAGAATGTGTTCAATGAACACACTCTTTTCCTCTCAAATTTGCTTGAGCAGTGTACTTTATACCAACATTTATTAGAAAGTTAAGCTATTTTATGCGTCGCATCTTGCGCTGATGTTGTGTTGTTTCCCAGGGAGACGCCCACAAGGCCGCCCACAGGGGACTGATCAGATATGGGTACAGGTGGGGCTGGAGGGTTGCTGTGTTTGCCGGCATCTTCCAGTAAGTAGAACTGCCCCTGGGGCATCGCCAAAAAAATGCAGCATCCCTCACGCTGTATTAAAGAAGAATCAGTCTCAAATCATTCTATTGAAAATAAAGTCTGATGTATTTTTACAAAGCTCTGTATCCTGTAGACATTCTCTTGTTGGTTCACCCTACCGGTAATTATCATAGTAAATGAGTACTTGTTGTTTTCAGTGGAGTGTCCACGTGTCTAGCTATATACAGGGACAAGGATGATGCTCTCAACTATACTGCTGCTGGAGGTATGTTCATATAACTGTATCTAGCCAGTCATCAGTTTTTGTGTGACACTTCAAATGTACATGCTCCTACTCTGTTACCCTGATGCTATGTTATATATATCTTAAGAAAAAAAGGTACAGCAACTTATAATTATGCAGCCTAACAACTTAGTAACAAGTGGAGTGAAAGAAAGTTGCAAGAAAACTCTACTGGTGTGCTGTAACAATTTTACCTCCTCTCTCCTCAGCTCTGGCCGGTGGTCTGTATAAAATCAGTCTGGGTTTGAGAGGCATCATTGGAGGGTCATTTCTTGGGATTCTCTTAGGGTAAGTACATATATTTATCGACACAGCAAGGTACATTATACATAACAACAGTCGTTGTCTAACACAAATGATAAACAAGCACTGGCATACAGTTTTGTCAATGATAGCAGGTAAACATGTAGGTTTCGATTCACATTCCTCCTGCTGCCAAATGTAGTAACCAATAGAAAATTGGTTTCCAAATGGCTGCTTCAGTGTGTTTAAAGTGAAGGATGATTTCAATGATTTTTGATGTACTCTTTGATTACAGAGTTCCAACCGGCCTGCTGACCCAGCTAGGACAGACGTTACAGGGAGAGACTTACGTGGAGAGGAGACGGACTCTCAGGAAGGAGGTCCTGGAGCTCAGGAGGGAGGAATGGTACATGTAACATGGTCCTCATATACACTCTAAAACGGCTGTTGTACTGTTAATACTTTTACCTTTGCAGCAGTTTATTTGAGGTATGAGGAATAAAGAGGTTCTTGCAGTTTGAAGTCCACGATTGAAGCAATTCTGTTGTGGAAAAGAAATAGGAACCACATATTTGCAGTGACAGTGTAAAAAGTGTGAAAAAAAACAACACTGCAAAAGTAAATGCATGTACAGTATACTTCTATCTCCAAGCAAATGTTAGGATGGAATATCATGTATGTTTCTCAGTCCTCAAATGGTTTGTCTTTATGAAGTGGCAATGGACTCAGTTTTGGTTTGTACATTTTTTCTTCTAGGAAAGCTCGCCTTCAACTGATGGACGATTTTATCTCGGACACTTCCTCAGAGCAGACATCAGGAACAGAACCCAGCACCCCTGGTGGGACCAAACTAGCTGCAGGAACCGAACCAGAACCCTCTGTATCTGGTCAGGCGAAGGTTGTGTCCTACCAGCCATCAGGAACAGAACCCAGCACCTCTGGTCAGGCCAAACAACCTACTACATGTAACTCAGGAGAACAGAAACAGTCATGACAAAGTTGATTTTTAGATATTTCAGGTCTTTAATTATGAGGAAACTTAATGCCTGTTGTGGACAGTCAAGTTCCACGAAGAAAAGACATGGTTCTATTCTTCATTACTTGGTTTTAGTTTGCAATTAAATTAGGTTCTGGTACAATTTTGTAAAAATTAAAATTCTTCAAAAATGCTTAATATCCCATTATGTTGTGTTTTAATGTGTGAGCCCTACATCAATTTCCACTAAATATCTTTTTACCTTACATACCCATCCTTCCCAAATCTTACATGTACATACATAGATGAGTATACTGTGAAGTAAGATTAACCTGTCTAAAATTAGGTGTTATTGATGGAATGAACACAAACACAACAGTTTCCTTTTTTTTGTATATTAGAAAATTGTCCTTCACAAAATTTTCAAGAAAATGGTTCAGGCTTAGGCTAAATTAGCAGGTAACACGTTAATGTAGAAAAGGCCCCCCATACATGATGTAGAAATTTGTGCTGTTTCTTATTTAAATGCTTCCCACTACTGCATAGTGTAGAATCATTTTCTGGTGCATAAAGAAAAACCTTTACTATCACATCTCCTATCACATTTACAAAGAATCATACGAAAGACAATATGAGCTATTGGGAATGTCCCAATCATTTGGCAGTCTGACTCTACACTGATATTACTGGCAAAAATCTTTCATAAGGTCAGAAACGTTTTTCTCAAATCTTGTCCTGGTTGACATTTGCTCAACATAATTTATGCTTCTATAAGCACCAACATGAGCACGCAATCACATACATGTATATTTAACTAGAACACAAACATCCCTTTCTACATGTATATAAATCTTAACAAAATTATCTCTGTTGTCATAAAGATATTTTCATATGGACTACATGGAGTATTCAAAGTTTTCCTTGTTGGGGGAGCAATATAGCCCGGCCAGCAGGAATTGAGTAGGAGTATTGGTAAGATTTGTGACATTCCACCACCATTAATTAACATACAAAATGTAGGAATACACCATATCGTACATGTATTTTGATACTTGTGATACCATAATACAACAAAAATTACTATAAATGTCTAATAGTAGATAAATCACCTATAAATTGCGATATAATCCCTTCCGGTTCATGTCGAAGCATTTTTTCATAATTTCTTTTTACACACTTAACACTAAATGCACATATACATACAAGAAAAATGGCTACTTCATGGTAGAAACATCACATAACAAAACATTATCTAACTCTTACAATTTCTTTTTTGATTGACTTGTTTCAAAACACTGATCACTATCTTACACATGTCACTACAAACACAGCAGTACATTTTCACAACTTGTACCCCTACGAAAAGATTCATGAAAATGCCACCATTAGAAAAGCCACGTTTTAGACTTAACTTCATTTATACACACTGGAGTTGCAATGGTAGAGATTGTGCATTATTGCATTCATTTCTGTAGCTTGGATTTGAGTTGTCATTTTTTGCAGCAGTTGTATTGTAACTACGGACTAGAGTAGCCCTTTTCACACATTTGTCAGTTTTGTGCAATATAGGAAAAACTGCACAGTGTACATGTAGACAGCCCATCCATATGTTGTAGTTCAGTTGCATGCCTATCTAGTTACAAGATTATCATAATAGTCAAAAGTTGTTGGGTTTTTCATCGAAACTCAACCATTATCTAAATCAATTTACCCTTACTTCTTACGTATAGAGACCTTGTTTTGTAAGGGATGAGTTCGCATATTGTTTTCCTATTTTTTCTTGGCAGTAGAAAATCGCAAGTTGGACCAGGGTTGCACTGCAAAACACATTCATTTGTAATTTTGGTAACACTCAATAGTACTAGTAATCCAATGTGATTGGCCAGGCCACAAACATGTTACTGTGTGATTGGCTGATTCCTGACCAATCAGGGAACCTCTATGAATAGTACAAAGGTGTAGTCCTAATCTGCTAATCATATGTCAAAAAGGTTGCTGGATAAAATTGCAGGTTGGTGTTACAGGCACATATCAGCACTTTGATGAAATCAAAATCTTTATAAAATCTAAAATCAAGTTTTAATACAGCCATTTAACAAGCCATATAGCTGTATCTACACAAAAGAACTGAGATATCTAGTTGAAAGGGGTAAAGGAGGCTATTCACATCAGGGCCCATCACCCTTCACTCAACTGTGACGGGGGCCGACATCATCTACCAGATACCTTTGACCCAGTGTTGAAGTCACGTGACAAGCCTCACAGGGTCAGTCGACAGAGGAAGACCAGAGAGACTGGTCAAAAGCTCTACGTGATAGAATTTCTTTGCGTTGGATCTTAAGTTTTAACTTTAAACAAGATTTCTAGCCGCTTTTGAAAAGTGAAATCCTTCCCCAGACTGTAAGTTTAACTAGAAGGCGTGTTAGCGCCCCTGATCATCCGCCGTGGTCCTCTCTTCCCCGCGGGCCCCTGCGGCCGGGCGAACTTTTCTCGGTACGCATTCTTCTTTGGGTGGAGTTCATCCATCAGGAATTCTTCCGTCAACTCGGCACCATCATCAATTTCAACCTACGCAAAGATAACAAAACCGCATGGTTTTAAGATGCTGAAAAGTCTCAAAAGCCTCAGCCCCAAGTTGAAATCACAACGTTTAATAGGATGATCATGATTTCAACTTGAAGCCTTCTCTGACATTCATTTCATTTTGTATACTTTAATCTTGGCATTCTGTAAAAGATCAACTCTTTTTTGTTGGCGGTTGTTCTACATCTCTTCTTGTACAAATACAACAACTAGGAAACTCACAACTTGTCACAGAACTAGAGATACATCCCAACATTAAACTGATTCACTTTGTAACAAATAAAATCTAAATGCACCCTTGACTGTGGGAAGGTTAAATGAAGAATAAACTGCTGTTTCTGACCTTTTTAGAGACCGTGATGCCGAGGCTGTGTTCTGTCTGGTCCAGCAGTGGTGCCTTACAGCTGCTGTACAACATCCGCTCCTTAATGCTGCACTTGTACCCAGGCATCGAGTAGATGAAAACTGCACACACAAAAAGACGACAATTTCATTGTTTTAAGTCCAAATTCAATAGACAACTCACAGTGTCATCATAACAATCATCATTAATCATCAAGCAATAACTACTTTTGGAACAAAATTCCCTATCATTCATCTATCTTTAACCAATGATAAACTAAACAGCTCATCAGCAGTGCTACTGGCTTAAAGCACTGAAAAGGGTCTAGACAAATTCATGTTGACACTGTAAATTGTGAAACATTTGGTGTGATTTCATCATGCACACAGTGACCTCTCCACTGTCAAACCATCACACTGTGAACATATTTCTGTTCTTCCCCTCTCATCATCATGAACATGAATGACTTTACAGTATGAGCTTAGTGATGAAGAAGAGTGGTGGATTATCACTTGAAACGTCCGAAATTTATCCTGAGTTGCAGAATTGGCTTTATGACTTTACCGACAGATTCCTGGTAGTCCCCCTCATGTGTGTGTTTGAAGACAAAGAAGTGATATCTGGGGTGGTCCTCTGGCACCCTCTGAGGCAGGGCCTGCACTGTGATGTCCTCTGCTCCTGACAGCTCTATGGTTTCCCTGTCCATGTCCAGTTCCTGGGGAGCAACAGGTAATGTGTGTTACACACTAAAACTGTAGTGTACAAAATGTAAAATTACAAGAAAATCTTTATTTGCACCACCAAATCTTAGAGAAAACTAGACAAAGTTTGTCTATCATTTGGAGAAATCTGAGGGATTATGTATTAATAGTACTGTAAGCCTACATTTGTAGGTACAGCTCTTTATGCATGTTGTAAAACTGTTAGCTCTTCTCCATTCCATCAACTACAAGTCATTTTATCTTTTTAAAATGCTGTACAAGTCATGTACAACAAAGAAATGGCTTCTTTTAGATTATATATTTTTTTAAATAAATTGTCAATGATAATTAACAGTTCTGTATTTCTTGTCAACTTTCTGATACATTTTGTCATAAAATTCTATGAATATAATCTATTATTACGAGATTGCTCCAGGCCCATTACTTATTTGCCTATAACAATACCAGTCCCACCAGTCTGACATAGCTGATCTGCCCTTCCTTCAGCTGCTGTAGTTTAGCGACGGCAGCCTGAGCGATGGGGAAGGCCACACCCTGCACTGTCTGCTGCCGAGTCTCCACATGGATGTGGGTACTCACTCCCTGCAAACACAAACATCACGCAAAATTACATGTTTTAAAAGAAATTATGGCTTTAACATCAATTTGTTAGAGTGTATTCTATAGAAAAAGTTTCCAGCTAAAAGTTTCTAGCTTGGTTTCCAGACCTATTATAGCTCCTGAGTCCTAGATCCTCTCCTAAAATTTGCAGAGAGAATGTAGGACTTGGGAGCTATGATAGGTCTGAAAACCAGGCTAAAAAGTTTCAGCCACACAATTTTCTTGCACTGAGCCAAGAATTAAGCTTAGTAACAGCAACAAAGAAATTACACTAGATACAACTCCTATACAGTATTATGAACATACAAACATGTACAAGACAATTATACTGCACAATTGTACATACATGTAACATGGGTGAAATGTGTAAGACTAAGAGAAGAAAGGATAGATGAAGAAGATACCCAAGAGGAAAAGGCTATGAATGATTAAAGTATAAGAAGGTCTCCAAATTCAGTTCACGAGTACTAGAGCAGAAGGGCTATGGACTCACCCTAGTACGGGGTCTTGGTGCCACGGGAGGTGGCATTCCGCGATTGTAGTATGAAAACCGTGAGTCCTGAATACAACTCATTTGAAGCTACACACACACAAACAAACAAACACACAGACAGAAAAACAAATACAGGAGAGACAGAAAAGATACAGCTTGTGACGTTGAACCAAGAAAAAGTCATAGTTGTAGATGATTGGACAGAGAGAATGAGTGACAGAATAGCACATGATGAATCGTGGCAGAACAGTAATCTGTACTAAGGGTGCAAAAGGCTCACCGGAAATTTCTACCAAGCCGTGCAGCAAGAAACATGGAAGCATAGATATAGAGTCTGAGTTAGATTTAGAAGATAGATCAGGTTGTATTAGCAAATAATCTACAAAGACCAGACCATCCTTTTATTAATACATAACAGACTAATTACTAGCTGAGTCAAAAATTAGCTACAAGTGAAATTTGATAGCACATTATATTATAGTACAATAAACTTACAAACTATAAAGAGGTCTACAGGAAGAGATGAAAAGAATTGAGCTCACCATGCGCTTCTAATGATGAAGCCATGTAGCAAGGAAGGGTTAGAAGGTTGCAATAGTAAGTGAGCCACACCTTGTTATTGAAGAGAATGCTGCTACGTGTATTATGGTTGTTTGTACAGTATGTGTAGTTGCCTAAATCAGTAAGTAGAAAATAGGTTTAGAAGTTTCATGCCCACTGCAGGGTAGAGGAACAGTCTTGTAAGCACGTCGGCAAAACCCCCATTTTTCACAGATTTCGTTGGATTTTTGGTCAACGTTGCATCACAATTTTGCCTGTTGCAGACGATATCTTTTCCGACACAACATTTGGAAACTACAGATGGAATGTTAACCTTATATACACAAATACAACCTTATATGGAGACGTTCTGACCAAGTGCTATTCACAATGCCTTGGTTTCGCACAGGTGCAGTACGTTCTGCCGACGTGCTAGAGGCACACTGTTGTATGTGTTCAGAGTTCAGGTAGCTGATACAGACTCAACCAATCATGGTGGTTAGCACACTCGACCAATCACAGCAGTCGACACACACCTCTTGTTGTTTGATGTACTTGAGCTCTTCCTCTGCCTCGGTCAGCGGTGCAGGTGCATTCTGGGCCTGCAAGTGTTTGTGGTAGCCCGCAAGAGAGATGTCCTCCTGTACAAACACAAACAAATAAGAATCTCAGGCCACACCAAATGATTATTTGTTGGTTCTCAGATTTGCCCGCTTCATTTTTTCTGATTTGCAAAAAAAAGGCGATTCAGGTTCTGAATCAACTCCAAAATGCTCTTATTTTGGTCCCAACAGTTGAAGGAAGTCCCTTCTCTTTAGAGTTGTTACAGTTTTTCCATCTATCAATGCAGTGGTTTGATTAAAAGTTTGAAATTCATTGAATTACAAACCAGCCTGGAATATTGACTTCATCGCTCCTATTGAAGCATTTAGGGCTATGAAGAGGATGCCTAAGTCAAAGATATAAAGATAACTCTTGATTTTCAAATTCTGTTGCGCAAATTTAACCGACTTTAGAGAAGTACTTACAGGTGCTGTTCCAAAAACTTCCTCCTTGATCTGTCCCTGTCCAAACTCCTTCTTCAGGGTGGCCCTTGTAGCAGCATATGTCATCTTTTCCCTTATCTATAATGTAAAAAAACGTAAAAGGTTGAAGTCTCTTTTTTGAGGCTGTATGTTTTTATCAATTTGCCAAGAGAAACACTGGCAAACAATATTCATTCTATGGTGTCTGTGGTTTCATGCAGAAAGTTAAACTATACTGCTTCAAATCAACATCTTGTGACTGGCAGCATATGCCAAATTCAATAACTACAGATATTGTAAACTCCAGGGGGCAGTTTGACATCTTGCCAGAGGCCACTTCCTGTCAGTAATCAACTTAATCTGCAAACCAGATTGGTCCCATAACCAGTTTTAGTACCCGAGGTGAATTAGTCATGGCTTCTGTTGGGCAATGTTCCAAGTTTCCAAGCTACGGTTTTAGCGGTCAGGTCACAGGATGTTCACTTCACTGATAACTAACCAAGTTCCGAAAATTATTCATCAGGTTGGTTAAGTATAGGATGTAAGGATTTTCTTTTTGCGCAACCAAATTTTCCTACCTTGCTTACGTTTTTGTGTCTTTCAGATGTAAGCAATTAATGCAATGTAGGAATATTTCGTTGCACAAAAGAAAACCCTTAGGCCACACCAATTTAATTTCTTGGTTAACCGATTTTTCTATCAAAATAATGGAGCGGGCGGGCGAAAAAAAAATAAAAATAAAAACAGGCCTAGGCATCCTATTATGGCCCAAAATGGTACGACAGGAGCCATGAAGTCAACACACCAGGCTGGTTCAAAATTTAAACAATGAATTTTGAACTTTTAATGATACCATTGCATTGAAAGATGGAATGCCTGTTACAAGTAGTAAGAAAATGACTGTTTTCAACTGTTCAGGGCAAAATATGAGCATTTTGCAGTTGATTCTGAATTTTTATTTTTATTTGCAAATCCGAAAAAAATGAAGCGGCGAATCCGTTAACCAAGAAATTAAATTGGTGTGGCCTTAAATACCATAAACTAACCAAGTTATCACAAAAAGTGAACATACATGTAGTGTGCAATCCTACTAGTGAGATACAGGTTAAGTAACACCATGAATGCCAGTCTTAGGCTATAATGAATAATTTGGATTTATTAGATGTAAATAGAGTTCAAGCACAATTTCGTTTTTTTTTTTTTTTTGCACTTTGTTGTTTTCATGTTGTTCTTTTCAGCACCATCACCCCACCGGCCGCACTTAGCCGTGCACCCAGCACCCTGGTTGTGATGCCCCAGTGAGGGGTTTTGACCAGTATTACATAGATGTAGATTGAAGTAGATCTATAGATTATCCCACTTATGGTAGACCAATGCCAATGATGTTCTGTTAGATAACTGTTAAATCACCAGTACATACATTGTAAGCTGCATAAGACCAGACTCAGACTGATCAAGTGAAATGTAAAGTACCTCTCCCCAGGGTACAACATCAGGGCTTGCTAGTGATTGAAACACCCAAACATTTATGATTAACTTCCCAGTTACAGACACTAACCCTAACTACAGGGCTATACATTGCCACATTTTCTGATCATATTGATGTTTTATTTCACAATGACGAATACTCACATGTGCATGGTCAGGAGAATAAGCGAGGAACAGCCACTCGAAGCCTCCATGACTCTCCCGACTGTCCAGCCTGTAGAAGATGTAACACGGCTGCTTCTCCTCCAGCATGGGCAGCACTATACTGTCCCAATGTGGGCTGGTTAAAGACTATGCATTCCAGTGGGATAGTGTGATACTTATAATATCAAAAAGTGTTTTTTTTCACTTGTCATGGTTTCAAATACAATGTAAATTAGATGATTGCATGTATGTGTTTACTGTCCTTTCAAAAATCCATGCACAGTGGCTGACTACAAACATTACTTAACTAAGTGAATAATAATCTTAGATGAATGCTATTTTATTTTAAAAGATAAATAGCATTCATCTAAAACTTGTAAAAGGATATCTTCTTCAAATGTTCCATCAGCCAGGCCAGAGTCTGACAGAACAAGAGTCTCTGAAAGATGAAAAAAATAATCTGTTATCAGAAAACAACACATAGCATACCAGTACTGTCACTAAGTTTCCATTTGAAATAGTATCACTTGCATCAATAATAAATAAAGTCTTTCATCTACAATTTGCATGTCATTGACACTCTTTTACAGTCATATTACTAGTAACTTAATTCTTCTATGAAAGATAAGCAAATCAGCATTAAACCTAATGTGACTATGCTTCTATGTAGAATGTATTACACACATGGCATTACATAACATCACAACAATTCTTAGAATTATTTTCATTATGTTTATCAGTACCAGTTATTTCTGAAGAATCAACTGACATGATAAATCCCTCACCAGACTGGATAGAACAGCCTCATAGATCACCATGGGCATCTAAATTGACCGTATCACGGTATCAGTTATGCCTCATCAAAAATCTATAATCCGAAGGCTGACCTGCAGTCCCGGGGGACTAGAGCTGTTCATCTCCAATATGTCACAGGGATGGAACAGTAGGAAAACAGACGGGACAACTTCCCAATATTTTCTGAACTGACATCTATTTACTAGTAGATCCGTATTTAGCATTGAAATCCTTGTTTATATGTTACCTGCAATATTACATAATTTCAATTCCAAAATTTTACCTTTGATTTGAAAATGTTTCTATGAATGTCCAACTCGTTGCCATACTTTTTTTTCCAAAATGTGACCAACTTTAAGCTAACAGTCACCATACTGCTATTTCAGTGCATGTGTGAAGTTGTTCTTTTCAATGAATAATATATAATTCATAAAGGCCTTTATTCCTTATTCGTTAATGGCTAACATGAGCTATGAATGCTGGTCTTCAAATTCTGTAGAATATGGATTGTTATGATTCTGTTCTGAACAGAGAGTTTCTGCCCAAAAGACTGTACACCTACCATTCTCTATGGACACCTTGATAGCCCTGTATCTTCCCTCATTTGCACCGCCTTTCTTACTGGCTGCAAAGAAATCTCGCAGCTCATCGGTTGCTGAAAGTAGAAAATGTAACAGTTCTGATTTAGTTCATTTATGAAATAAGAGTTGGGTCTGTTACAAGTTTTATGTCTCATCATTTACTGTTGCCACAATTTCAACAGTTATTTCAAAGTCAGACTATTATAATTTCTGTTTCTGCTAGGAATATGCCATATGTAAATTATAGAACAGTCGAAAAATTGTAATTTTGCTCAACCAAGGTCGATATAGATTAGGATAGTGTTGATCAATCATACCATGTAACTAGGGGACTTGAATATTGACTTTGAAAATCCAGTTTTAATGCCCAGAAACTGCACTGGGTGCCTTTAACAATAATCAATGGACCATCAAAATTCTTAGTCTTAGTACAACGTAAACATAGAATAACGAGCATATACAAGTTGGTATTCCTCCCATATAACGCTTACTAGACTAGATGCTATATTTAGTGTGGCCATCTTCCCGATATATTCCCGGTTGCGCAAGTCGGCCATGAAAGGGCTTAAGGTTGCTATAGAGTCATATATACGTCTGGACAGATTAAGTCTCATCGGAGACACGCGATACTCCAGGCTACACAGGGTCAGGAAATGGACTCCCTAACACAAACAACTCCTCTTTCTTTGTCTATGACTAAGTACTAAGTAATTGGGTGTTTTTCCAGTTTTAGAAAATATCTAGTCATTCTAGAGTAGAGTAGCTTGCTTTTGGCACTGAACAGCTCACATGACTCATGCTTGTGGAGATTCGTCCTTCAATTCGCTATATTCGCTTCAATTACATCATATTATGAATAGCCCTTTAACCTACATTTTTGTACTTCATGTACATCTTTGAAAGTAAATATTTATGTGTGATTAATTAAAGATAATTATTCAGACAAGAAACTTTGGGAATGAAAGAAAAACCCTTCCCAATTGTAACAGTTCTTTGCCCTTCTATTGGTGCGATTTTACACAGAATTTATCGGCATGTACATATACTAGACGGAGGCAAGATGCCCACCTACATATACCCACCTTTAATACGGCCCGCCCCTCCCACAAAAACGCCAACAAAAATTTCCCGGTAAGACACCGGAAAATTCGACGAGAAAACTCACCCAATATTCCCGTCTGGTGCGACATATTCCGGCTTCCTTCTGCCCCTGTTATCTGTGCGCGTTCAACTACGTCAAGAAACTGGCTTGTTGGGAACTAGATCCGTTGCCAGAGGCCGGTCTTTTAGGTTATATTTAGCTTGGCGAGAGCGATTTTGTACACGAATGTCTCTGTGACACTTCCTCCTGGTCATGTGAGACAAATGGGATCGGGTGGAGGTCAAAGGTGAACACGTTTTGTCAACCGGGCGCTGATTGGATAGAGTTTATCCATCTGTTTTCCTTTAGCCAATCAGGTGGGATGTGACAGGAGTGAGCTTGGCGGGAATTCAAAATGGCGACCACCATGCGTACGGAAAACGTCGGATTCTGTTTTCGTCCAGTTTTCTGTGAGATACAAGAAAAACGTCGTGTATATTCGGTAGTATTTGAAGGCTTTTATCAAGACAACAGTTAGGAATCATTGTATGAAGCCGTTTTAGGGTTAAATTTTTCGTTATGGCGTCCCAAAGTGTTTGGAAACCGGCGCATAAGTTGCGGGAGGGCAGGCGGACTGCAGACGTTCTGAACACCGAGGGAGCAGACTTCGCCTCTCTGCTGCTGACCGAGCCCGTACAGCGGGGACTCACTCTGGCAGGCTTCGAGAGGCCGTCTCCGATTCAACTCAAGGCCATTCCGCTAGGCAGATGTGGCTTAGGTATTACGTTTAACTTTAATTGAGTGAAGAAATATTACATAAATTGATTCGCATATTCGTGTAAGATCCATTAACTTATATGATTAAGTTTAAATGTTCTTCTGTACTCAGTCTCTTACAACAACACAAGAACAAATTCATGAACAAGATAGAACATGTATCATTAACATTACTTATATGCAATGCTAAGTAAGGAGTTAACTTTTAAATACAGGTTGCCAAACCCAAAGAAGCTTTCTTTGAGTTTGACTATTTTGCAACACAGTATCTCCCATCATGACATAAGTACAGTAGATTCAACAACTGGCCATGGTGACAGTTGCAGGGCAGCTGAAGTTCTCTCACTTGCTGTGCTTTAATCATTTTTTCCTAGACCTGATTGTCCAGGCCAAGTCAGGTACAGGGAAGACCTGTGTGTTTGCAGTCATCGCTCTGGAGAGTCTGGTGTTGGAGACATACAGTACTCAGGTAAGGGGACAGTGCTTCAAGTTGATGTGCTTTATGTTTGAAGTTTTCACTTTAACCTCTTGCTGTGAACTCAGCACATTGCCTTTCTATATGCATTTCTATTAGTACAACATGTATCAATATTAGTCGTGTAAAGTGCCTTTCCCTAGGGCACCAGATTGGTGGCATGTCAGGACTCGAACCTGGGACCTCTTGGTTCCGAGTAGGGCACTCTGCCATTACACCACACGACCCCACATTGTTTCATGTGACATGTTTCCTGTCCCAGGTCCTGGTCCTTGCCCCCACCAGAGAGATTGCTGTACAGATCCATGACGTGCTGGAGTCTATCGGCCAGGCCATGGTGGGACTGAAGTGCCATGTGTTCATTGGGGGACTGCCTGTCCACGAGGACAAACAGAAACTCAGGAAATGCCACATCGCCATTGGCTCACCAGGTACAAGTCCTGAGCCTGTGTCGTTAAATTTTTGCTTTTAATTTTCATGTATCTTTTGGCACTCTAAAGTAGTAGTATGAGAATATGATTCCGTAGGGGTCTCCCCAGAAATTTGTAGGGGAGAGGTGCTCCCTAATCGGTTGATGCCGCTTCGAAAAAAAGTCTGCAAATTTTAATGAAAATACTTCGAGAAAACACTTAATTTGAATATTTTGGGACAATTCCTAGGATTCTAGGGAGAGCACCCTTGCTTCATTGCTTGGAGAGAGCCCTGTAAGGTGTTAGTTATTTTATTGATGCCTGAAGGAAACAAATTGGCCTGCTAGCAATTTTCCTACTCATAGTATACTGTACAGTACAGATTTTCCTATGTTAACATCCTGTTTGTTTGTATTTGTTTCCATAGGCCGCATCAAGCAGCTGATAGAACTGGGTGTACTGAAGACCAGCAGTATCAGGCTCTTTGTTTTAGACGAAGCAGACAAACTTCTGGAGACTGGCAGCTTTCAGGAACAGATCAAGTATGGAACATCATTGTAGTTTTAATAAATCTGTTTATGTTGAGGGATACGAATTATTCAACACACTTGTTACAAGTTGATCCTTTGACTTTTTGAGTCCCTCCATTTGATCACTAGAGATTGACAAAGTCTAAAAAGAAAAAAAAAAGATAATCCCTACCTACCAACCCTAATTTCTTTCAGGTCTGAAACAGGAAACAACATGTGCCATAAATGATGTATGAATTATGATAATATTGAAGCTGACCAGGATGTTTTGTTTGACAGCTGGATTTACTCGTCACTACCTGACAACAAACAAATGGTTGCCCTGTCGGCGACCTACCCAGAATCCCTTGCACAGCACCTGCAGGTGTACATGAGAGACCCGACCTTCGTCAGGCTGGATGTCCAGGACCTGTCCTTAAAAGGTAAACCTATCCTTAAAAGGTAATATACTTTTACTCAGTAAGGCCATGTTGATGTGATTATATGGATGACATCCTCAGGGAACCCCAAAACTGATAAGAGTGTGTGAAAAAAAGTTTTGTAAAAAAGTTGCCTTCATTATGAAATCTACATGGTCATGAAAGTTGAACCAATGAAAAGATACACAGTGTGAAATTGCAAATAATAGACTCTTCATTTCTTCACATTTTGTTCTTTTCCTTTGGAATTGAATTTGGCATTACTAACATTTTTTTATATTGTAGTATTCCTAGCTGGTACACTAAAATATCAAGATAGAAACATGTCTTATCATATTGTTTTACCCCAAAGTGGTTGTATGCAGTGTCTTTTCATTGTACTTTCTATTTTCCAGGGATCAAACAGTTTTACAGTGTCATGCCTCAGATGTCTTCAATGTCCAAGGCCTTCCAAGCTAAAACAGACCAGCTGATCAAGCTTTTGTCCAGAGTGCCTTTCCACCAATGTCTCGTCTTCTCCAACGACCAGGGGAGGTATGGGAATTCTCAGCCATCACAGTGCTACATGACTGTTACATTTTATGTATTAATATTGTTGACAATACTATAAGTAAAACCAAACTTAACGTGACTTGAAGAAAATCCAGGCCAGGTGACCACTATATTCAGGGTTCACCAGAAAGGGTCCACAATTGCCGAGTAGTCTTTATGTAGAGGTAGTCACTGGTACTGGTGTGATGTGTGTTGTATGGTATTTTGCAATTGATGTTGCTTCTGCATTTTGTTGTTACAGAGCCCAGAGGCTTTCTGAGGACCTAAACTCCAAGGGATGGCCAACAGCATACATTTCAGGTAAGGTCTTCAAATCATACTTTGATTTACAGAGATGTTTTTTCTTCACAAGTTTTCCCAGTCACCAGTATGTGGCACTGACTTGATCTATGTGTTGCTCCCATCTGTAGGAAGTCAAGAACAGACCCAGAGGCTGAATGCGATGTCCCAACTCAGGAACTTCCAGTGTCGAGTCTTGGTGTCAACAGATTTGGTGTGTGGTAATGTTGTATGAAATACTATTATTTGTTCTCTTTGATATAATGAATACATATCATTTGACCTACTGGAATCATTCAATGTAGTATACATCTATATGCCTTTCAATGTTATACTATTCATTTTGGTTTCTTAGCCCATTTCTAAGGCATCTTAGTTGTAATGATTGTAGAATGCCTTTAATGTAAATACACTATATTCCTTTCCTTTTGAATTATTACTTGTGGGAACCAACGTCGCCATGGTCAATTTTTTAAATGCCCACCTTGTTGTTTGTTTATGTTCCTCATCAGACTGCCCGTGGCATTGATGCAGACAAGGTGAACTTGGTGGTGAACTTGGACGTTCCCCAGGACTGGGAGACCTACATGCACAGGATAGGCCGGGCGGGACGGTTTGGTAAGGGATAAACCACTAGTGGTGGTGGGAGGGGGTCCTGTCATTTGATCAGATCAGATCAGATTGTCCAATCAGCACCAAGGACAGGGAAACCTTCCCCCCAAGATCAGATTGTCCAATCAGCATCAAGGACAGGGAAACCTTCCCCCAATAACAGATTGTCCAGCATGAAAGTTCATCTGAGTTGGTAAATTACATTATGAAAAACTTTTCTCCAACTCAAAATTTGACTCACCAGAAATTTACGACTGAATCACTCAGTCTTCCTCAGCTATCTGACCCAAATGCTGTGGACCCGTGATTTTTCCCACGTGTGACATCAGCACAGATTGTCAGCACAGATTGTCCAATCAGCACCAAGGACAGGGAAACCTTCCCCAAGAACAGATTGTCCAATCAGCACCAAGGACAGGGAAAACTTCCCCCCAGAACAATTGTCCAATCAGCACCAAGGACAATGAAATCGTCCCCCAAGAACAGATTGTCAAATCAGCACCAAGGACAGGGAAGGCTTTTCCCAAAGAACAGATTATTCTCGAAAATCCAGTCAAGATAATCTGCTGTTGTGTATTATGTATAACATTTGAATGGTATTAGCAACATAAAGATATTAAAGGTTATAGTGTTCTACATGTTATTATTTCTTAAGTCTTAGTGTATTTCTCAGGAACCCAGGGTGCGGCAGTGACGCTGGTGTACAGTGGGAAGGAGGAGGGCAGGCTGGAGAACATCACTCAACACTGTCGTCTGTCTCTACAGCCTCTGCCCAGTAAGTCTGCACTTAATGATTGGCACTGCTGTTATAAACTACAATGTATTTGATGAAATAGGACATTGTGTGATGATGATGAAGAGTAAGAGAATTTTCTGTTCCAGACCCAATCCCTTCAACTCTGATCACAAGCAAGGATGTTACATCTCAGGAGGTGATGTCCTCAGGTGACCTGGTAACCGTGACAACCCTTTCCACAACACAAAAGTATCCTGAAGAACAAGAGTCACTTGAACCACCTGGAGACTCCTGTAAAATGGTACATGGAATCTGCCCTCATACAGCTGCATCAGGTAGGGCCGGTCCTAAATCTTTAAACACAACTAACACAAATGGAGCAGGAGATGGAAACAGCCTAATAAGGCAGAAAGCTTGCTGTCAATCACAGCAGAGCCAATCAGAGCAGTGTTTGAATGACCAATCAGAGCAGTCATTCAACAACCAATCAGAGGAGACTTTCAGCAACCAATCAGAGCTGTCCTTCAAAAACCAATCAGAGGAGACTATCATCAACCAATCAGAGAAAGTCTTGAACAACCATTCAGAAAACCCACTGAACAACCAATCAGAGCATGAGAGATGCAGTCAGCTTCATCAACAACCAAAAAACTCCTACAATTCCAGGGTCTCAACAGGTTCGAGATCAACTCTGTCAGTGAGTCTTTCTGATAGTTGCAGTCAAGGTAGTTATTCCCTCGATGAAGAGGCAGATTCCAATAGTTGTGACAAATCTATGCACGAAGTCTTCTTACACCAAAGTGAAATGGAAAAGGAAAGTACAGTGAACTTGGAGGGGGACTTTGAGAGAAAGTTGCCGGTGAGAGAAGTGAGGATTCCATCTCTAGCATCGTTCAAAGGACAGCAGAAAGTCAGGCTAACATTCCAACAGGCAGCAGAGGACCTGGAACATTTCCTAACACATGGTACAGAAAAGTATGGAGCCCACAATGTTCAACAGTTCATTGTAAAACAAACAATGAAGGAAGCGAGGAAAGACTCTGAGAGAACTATACAAGATGGTGATGTTAGTTGCAGTCCTGAAGTTCGTGAAACTGTTCCAAAGCGTGAGAAGAGAAAGCCAATTGGAAGTGGAAGGCTACAGTTGGCAGATGAACTCTCCAACATGAGCGACCATATAGAAGATATCTTAAACAGTTATGGTGAGGGTGCAAGTGTTAAAGCTCACCTAGATAATCCTCAGTATAATGAAGAGAATCTGAAACACTTAGTAGCAAAGAATCAAGACTCTCGAATGTCAACAGAAATAGATACTGCTGAAAAGACTTGGTCGACCTGGTCAAAACAAGGAGCAAGACCCAAGGGAAGTAAGGTATCCAAAGAAAATTCATCAGAATTGAACGGATTTAACGATGATGGAATACAAAAGCTCCACAGAACAGACAGGGAAGACAATGATTGCCCATGGGAAGAACAAGAGGAGGAAGAGTTCATTGATTCTGAGGGGGATGGAGGTAGTGATGAGGAATGGGAGGAGAGTGAGGGAGAAGAAACTGATGATGAATGGGAAGAAGAGGAAGATGAGAGTGACTCAACAGAGACTGGTGAAGAATACAGTGAGGAGGATTACGACAGCTACATCAACCAACCAAGGTCCTTCTATTCCAACAACCATGAGAACTACTATTACCAACCTGATAATACTTACCCACAGTACACTGACCATGCACCACCGCCATACTATGAAGGGTATCCTTGGTATGGTGAAAACACGACAACTGGCGAGTGCAGTGAACAGTACACCAGCGCCCCCTACTGGAGTGTACCAGGAAGGACAGCTATAGGTGAAACTTGGTGCTGCTGTGGTAGGCGAGACTGTGTGAGGAACAGGTGGTTGTCCACCTGGGCACGGGCTTATTCCTCACAGTGTTTATACATGGCAGCCATGCTGGGCAATAGAGACTTAAGGTAGCATAATGAACAAATCATATGGTAGACCTGGAGTAGGAATGGCAAAATCAAAGATTCGAAAGTTTTACTCATTTACTATTGTATTTAAAAGATGGGACAGCAAAGCAATGTCGTATGAATATTTTTCATGAAGTGTCGGATTTTTATACCCCATGACATGATGTGCTCTACTGAGTCAATTTTCTGTGATATAGTTACAGTATATGAAGCCAGCAATACTAAATGATACTTAATTATGTAGATTCAAATATCTATAGGTTAATAACCGTATGGTACGTATTGAAATTTTGTTTTGGCTCCTCTTTAATTTGGTAAGTTAGCTTTTGATTTTTGTTCCTGAAAAGTAAAAAGAACTGGTAAATGTACTGGAAGACTACCCTTACTTTGTTTATACATTTTGTGTATTTAAGAAAAATATGTACAAACATGAAGTCAATGATGCCAAGTTGTAAACACGAACATTTTGTTACACTTGTTGTACTGTAAAATAAAAAGAAACATAACTTTCCTGGCGAAATAAATGAGAAAGTGAGAGAAATAAATGGGAGTGTCTACAAGTATGAATAAAGTATGCTAATAACGAATGCATTGTGTCTTCTGAAGAAAATAGTTAGCGACCACATACGGTACTACTAAGGCATTAAAACTGTATTATCATGCTCTTCATCTGATCGTCTTTTCCAAATTTTTGAGAGAGAGGCAGAGAGACAGAGTGTATTATTATACTAGTGTTGCATTCCAAAACGTGTTCAAATCATGATTTGGAATAATATGTTTTGGAATGCAACAACTGTTATACTAATAACTGAACGTGGGTTGCTTCGAAATTCGCGCTCTGCAGTGAAGTTTATTACGTCATATGGTGTCAGCCAATCAGGAGCCACTACCTGAACCTCATTACATATTCATGACGTCACGTCCCTCACGGAAAGTTCGTAAACATTGTTCTGACCTCGGGACAACGTTCGATCGAAGTCCAAGGGCATCGGTGTGATGCAATCAGAAGTCATGGGAGGATAGATTCAATCATATAGGAATGATCTTTGGTCAACCGGTCATGTGTAAGTCATTTCCGGAACACAACAACTGAATATGGGCGCCGCATCCACCGTGGTTGTGAAACTCTCGGCAGTTTGCTTTGGTGTGTTGATTCTCCTGCAGGTCCAAGTACACGGAGACGTCAGATCCACCATCGCTGCCCTGAACAGGAGGATCGCAGACCTACAGGCGCTACACGATGAGGACGTCATACCCGGACAAGCCAAGCAGAAGGGACTGTACTCTAGTGAGGTAATGGCTGTTCTAATACCAACTAGAAAGGTAACATTTGCAAAGCAAATGCATTATGTTTACAAAGCATGTTATTATATTATAGGTAATATTGCGAAGCAAATGCATAATGTTTACCTTTGCATATTGTCTGCTCTGTTAATTCTTACTTAGCTAATTCTAGGCGAGAGCGAGGAGCTTACTTCCGGGTTGACGTGGCCGACACACGACACCACCAACAATAGCACAATGTTTTCGCGCTACTTTTGGCCGGGAGCCACAACACAGTACAGTGGCCACAAGGACACCGGCTTTAGTATGTTTACCGAAAAACATAGGAAAACATATTGTTTTTGCTGTTTCTTCTTTTTCTTCTTTTTATCTCCAAACACGTAAGGGCAATGACCTGAACCAGACGTCTGTCACCATGGTAACTGGTGTTGGGTTACACCATGTTGCAATTTTATAGCAGGAGGGATCTAGACTCCTGTATGACCATATATATGAACGTGTTTGAGTAAGAATTAACAGAACAGACCATATGCGAGGGTAAACATTATGCATTTGCTTTGCAAATGTTACCTTTCTAGTTTATGAGGTAATTTCATTATTTAACAAGTTTGAACTGTAATGGCCAACACACAAAAATTTTCGACTGCACAATTCCAGTCTTCGTTAAGGAATGAGCAATCTACCGCTTTCGTGACGTCAGGCAGAAAGTCTGTGGCGCCCCCCGTCTCTCTGTTGAGGGATGGTTTGTTCATTCCTTGACAAAGACTGGAGTTGTACAGTCGAAAATTTGTCTGAGTGCATTTTTTTCTGTTGGCCATTACAATTCAAAGTTGTTTACTGATGGCCTCTACCAACACAGATGAACTTTCACGATGAGGTAATTCCATGTTTAAACAGGTTAAGGTGAACTTCCATGGCCCGCCTGAGGTCTCCCTCCTCCGAGACATGGGTCTGTACGACAACAACGCGTTCGCCACGCTGTGGATCGTGACGTGTCTGCTGGAGAGTCACACCTACGGCACGGCTCCAGCCCCGGACCCCGGCCGCCTGCAGCTGGCTGTGGACGCCGTCAACACCTTCCACTAAAAAAACCTGCCTGTACGTTCTGTTACCTTCGCCAAAAAGGTTATGTTTCTAAAGTGTGTGTGAGTGTATATATATATATGTGTGTGTGTGTGTGTGTGTGTGTGTGTGTGTGTGTGTGTGTGCTGTATGTGTGTGTGTGTGTGTGTGTGTGTGTGTGTGTGTGTGTGTGTGTGTCCGTGGTTTAGCCCGATAACTCAAGAATGGTTGGCAGGCTAAGATTGTCATGAAACTTGGTAGGTGGGTAGGTGTTGATGAGACAGATGCTGTATGATTAGATTTTGAGTCCCCTCCGGTTTTGATATCTCGTGATCTGAACATGCTAGGGTTATAAAGTTTGGATGGTAGATAGCTCTTTCGGTCTTGGAGGAGTGACATTAGTTTGAACCCCCTAGCGGCTGGCCTGCCTGTATGTTCTGTTGTTCGTATTGCTTTCGTCTGACTTACAGGGTCAGACGGCCATGGACTTCTGGCCACAGGTGTACAACCAGACGACAGGTGTGTGGGTGCAGTCACCTGAGAACCTGCTGTATGTCGCGCAGCTAACCGACAACGACATTCCGTGGAACACCATCAAGAAAGTCCTTCTGGACCTGGGTCTGGACGACCTGTGGAATGCCGTTGTGTCAATGCAGAATAGGATGTACGCTTTATCTATGACTATGATATTTGAACTTTCTCTGTGTCAAAGAAACATATAATGTTATACATTTAACAGGTTAGGGGACATGCTTATACACAACTAGCTAAAAGTTTAATGGATCCAAGCACTGAACCTTTCTTCCTCTTGACTTAACATGTTTGAATTTCTTTTCTAAGTGGCATCCTCTTTGTGCAGGTTTCTTATGTAGAATTCCATGCAAATACCGTTTCCTTCTATGAAATACGCGTCGAACGCGTACAAGATTCCTCCCGAGTTGGTCGACTCTTTTCTGGATCCGGGTCTTTCTCCAGTAAGAGACATCGATAAGAATAAGTTTTGCCTACACTAATAAATGTAGCTGTACATAACGTATGTTTAGATTGACACATTTACATCTCGGTTCCCTTCAGGAAAAACATGGAAGCCGCCTACCGCATTCCCCCCGACTTCGACGACTCTTTCCTAAACCTGGGTCTCGGCGCCCAGCTGCTCCAGCTGAAGGACAGTTTTCCGCTCGCCTACCGGTCCTGGGCGTCCAACAACACGGACCTCCAGTCCCTTCAGAACCACCTCAAGTCGTACGCCTACCGCCCGCTGTCGGGGGACAACAATGCCGACACGATCGACCCCAGAACGTACTACTACATGCGGCCGTTCTTAGAAAAGGCGGCGAGGGAAGGAGACGAGATCACCTTGGTAACTACATGGGTGAGTTGGACTTTATTGTGCCTAGCCTCTATCAGAGATAACATGCCGGGGGAGTTGGTCCGCTGGAGAGAACAGTTTGCCGCTTTTCTCCCAGCAGACCAACTCCCCTGGCATGTTATATTATCTCTCTCTCTCTATTTGGCTCTCTATTTCTACTCTTTCCAGCCGCCTCCCCCGGAAGCCTGGTAAAGGCTATATTGTGTCCACATATACGTACTTATTACCACCAACAAGAAGGGTATGCTATTCATGTTGTAAAACACAATCTAAAAACGAAGAGTTGCTAGACACAGCAGACGTAAACATTGTACCTTATGAGTTTGACGGTTCCTCTACAAAACAAAAAGTTTCAGTATCGTCCATCCATTGTCGTTGCCCGCTATAGATTCAAAATCTCGCAGAATCTCGTGAGATGTTCATGGCGGGGAAGGGCGTGCTGATGCCGTATAACCTGAACAACGTGGACGTGACCGTGGCCGCCAACACGCTGGCCGGCATCACGGAGGCTCTGCTGGCGGGACTGGTGAACCCCGAGAAGTGGTTTGACCACGACGTGCAGGTACACAAACACCCTCAGTACACAGTTTATAAAGATAGAAATAATCAAGGCCATAGCATGTCCAGGACAAAAGATGCAACTGGGTGGTGAAGTCTACTTGGTTTGACCACGACCTACAGGTTTCCCTTCACTCACTCACTCACTCACTCACTCACTCACTCACTCACTCACTCACTCACTCACACACTCACTCACTCACTCACTCACTCACACTCACCCACGCACTCACTCACCAATTCACACTCACGCACGTACGAACTCACGCACGCACGCACTCACACACACACACTCTCTCTCTCACTCACTCACTCACTCACTCACTCACTCACTCACACACGCACTCACTCACACACTCACTCACTCACTCACTCACTCACTCACATACTCACACACTCACTCCCTTACTCACTCATTCACTCACTCACTCACTCACTTGACTGACTCACTGAATCTCTGAGTCCTGTTTTTCATACCCCCCTCGGGTTTTAATGATCAAGCTTTGTCCAGTAACTAAGAGTTTCAAAAGTTGTTTGAACACAGATTCTGAAACATAGCCTCGCTGACGAAGGACGAGCTTGCTCTGACAACATTGTCACAGAAAAGATTATGAGATCGTGGTTCTTCACACAGAGAATCTACCTGAACACGACCGCCATGATTTCGTGGGCCGTGACGTCAGAGGCAATCTTCACCCGTCCTGACCTGGTGATGACGTACTACCCATCTCTCTACAACTTCCTGTGGTACTCCTCCCGAACTCTCTTCCTCCTGCAGTCCAACCAGGACAGGCTGCAACACTACCCCGACTGTGTCAGGGATGTGCAACAGATTCTTACCACGACATTCAGGTGAGTAGGACCATTCACAATATAGAATTCATAACGGCCAAAACTTTTAGTAACCTGTCCGTAGGGATAGTAGTAGTAGTTGTAGTTGTAGTTGTAGTTGTAGTTGTAGTAGTAGTAGTAGTGGTGGTGGTGGTAGTAGTGGTAGTAGTAGTACTAGTAGTAGTAGTAGCACTAGTAGTAGTAGTAGTAGTAGTAGTAGTAGTAGTAGTAGTAGTAGTAGTAGTAGAAGTAGTAGTACTAGTAGTAGGCACTCTTTCATCTCAAAGATGATGGTAGCACTCCTGTCTTTGCATGGCAGGCAGTCAGGTTAGACATCTGTTTTCTTCAATTTTTGTTCCACTAACATGTACGGGGATGTATATTATATATATTGCCACAGGGACCATGTGACACCTAGACTACTGAACAGTGCCCAGACAGACGGCGGACAGGGTAGCTTCTTCGACGACTTCTTAGGAGACGGAGACACGGACATCTTTGGAAGACCGAAGGTCGGGTTAAGTCCTCGTCACGTATTTATTGTACGAAAGATTTTCAACAGCAAATTCAGAAAATTTCTTGGGACATCCGTGAATAGTTTCATTAGGTTGGTAAGACACTGAGTGAAGAGACTCTTTTTACACAACCATTACACAACCAGTCTTTTATTCAGTCAGAATTGCCCTGAGGAAGGTGACAGACGGTCACCGAAACGCCGGCTGAATAAAAGACTTGGTTGTATAACAAGAGTCTCTTCACTAGATCAATACTTGGGTCAGTTTGGTGTGCGTGTGTGCGTGTGTGTGTGTGTGTGTGTGTGTGTGTGTGTGTGTGTGTGCGTGCGTGTGTGTGTGTGTGTGTGTGTGTGTGTGTGTTTATATTTATGGCAATATTTCGTGACATGGAGCACAAAACAAGCTCAAATCCCAGTGAAGTTTAGTTTCCAGTTCTCTCGCCATTTTAGATCCATGGAGAAGACCGAATCTTCAGCACAGCACAGGCAGTAAACACACTCCTGGCGACCTGGACAGTGTTCAACAGGACCTCCCAAAGGCTGTCGTGGATTAACGGTAAAATAACTCTGTACATCACTTTTCCCTTTAAATCTAAAACAAAAATAATCACTGCTAGTATTTTCGAAACGCATTGTTATCGCCTCATATTACCATCTCATATTAGAGCGGCCCAGTCGATGGGGGAGCTTTAGGACCCTGATATGGCATATGGACTGATTATGGACAATTTATTTACTGTATATTATGTAATAATTTTGTTGTTTTGCATAATCCGTGACCCCCCCCTCACCCTTCTCGACCTTGAACATTCGAGAGTAAAAAAGATTCATTCATTCATTCATTCATTCATTCATTCATTCATTCATTCATTCATTCATTCATTCATTCATTCATTCATTCATTCATTCATTCATCTCATCATAGAAACCCCTGCGGACGTGAAGACCCTGGTGTCTCAGGCCGTGTCTTGGCTGGAGAAGAACACCCTGAGCGGCAGGTACAAGCCGTACAACGCCTTCTTCTCCGGCTCTACCAAAGGGATGTCCGTGAGTCTTTTTTTGTATAATCCAACATGTAATCACAAGACGTGGTGACGGCACACTCAAGTTTTTTCAACTTATATTAACGACGCCACCAATACTGGGGACAATACGCACACTACTCATTTCATGAGCAAAGTGAGGGTCGTGTAAAGTGCCTTTCCCAAGCACTTTCGGTGGCATGTCAGGACTCGAAGCCGGGACCTCTTGGTTTCGAGTCCAGCACTCTGCCGCTACGCCACACGACCGCACAAACGGTGGTCCGTGAGTCTTCAATTTTAGTCTCCACCAGGCTCCTTTACAGGCTGAATAAATTTTAGAATCGGCCTAAAAAGAATGTAGCTAGCCACGGGAGTGACCAGCTACAGACATTTGAAACGATATCTTATTTTGGGTTTCCGCACGTTAATCGCCATGTAGTGAGCAACGATTATACTGGACAAATTTTCAGTTGGCTCTGTGTATCTTAAAACGCTTCTTGTTTAATCTCCAAGCAGACCTTTCAGTGGGGAGAAGACAGTATCCGATTGGCCAGTCTGTAACAACAGGTGGGGAAATAGTTACAGACTGGCCAATTGGATACTGTCTTCTCCCCACTGAAAGGTTTGCTTGGAGATTACTTCTTGTTGACTGTTGATCTCAAGCAATAATCCGTTTGTGTTTGTCCCAGTCAGTGCCTCTCTGGTTCCCGGCCAACTTTCTGCAGTACGTGAACGGCACGGCTCTGTCGCCCACCGCTGACCTTGCGGATGACGTTGAGTTCATCGTGGGGGTCTCCGGTGTCATCGGTACGTACCGTCCGAAATCAACGCAAAACTAGAAAGGTAACATTTGCAAAGCAGATGCATAATGTTTACTTTCGCATATGGTCTGCTCTATCATTTCTTACTCAAAACCTCATCTCATTCCCAAATTTCATACTTTCTTCGCAGATCCTGATGAGTACCAAAAGATGGTTGTGCAGCCGCATTTCGGATTCGTCACGCCGACAAAGTTTGACGGATTTAACGCTCCGGACATCGTGTTTCCCTTCTGGTCCTCCGAGCCTTATACCTACGCCACTGTCATGCTGGCACTGGCGCAGTACGACAACATAGCATGAGAGAGAGAGACAGAGACTGGTTTATTTGTACCATACAAGTACATACTAGACCTGTAAGCAGCCATCATTGGCTGAATTGAAAAGGCTTCGAATACAAGATGCGCTTATGGCCTTTGGTCTTAAAAGCGTCTGTGTTTCAAAATAACGTAAATGATCATGCTGCCATGCACTGCCGAGGTGTCAGAAACTCCACCACATTCTCTACATAGTCTTTCGTAGTGGAGGTTTAATAGTAACTAAAATTGTTGCACATCTTGCCATACGCATCATACGCAGCTGTTGAGCAATAAAGGTATCATCATATCCCTACACCTATACACATGTTCCTACAATGGACATTATACAGGTCGTCCTTGGAGTTGGGGAAGGTGACAGACGGTCACCGAAACGTCAGCTGAATAAAAGATTTGGTTGCGTAAATAGTCTCTTTACTCCAAAAGGTCACCAAGCTGGGTAAACAATCTTGCTTCTTGTTCAGAAAAGCCATCAAATCGCCTGCTGAAGGTGAAAGCAACCAAGTTGTTAGATAAAAGCACTAGCTTTGAGTCCGTCAGCAAAGCCCATGGGAACTTTGGCCTTTCACGGTGCTTTTATGCCTGCTTACTAGTCTACACTAGTGCGTCAATTGTTTTTTGTCTCAAGAACATGCTGCGAAGGTTACGTGGTTGAATGTGCACGTGTCGTCCTTAACATCTTCAGCGTATTTTTCAAAACTTGTTCAGAGAAACTTAGACAGACTACACACAACATAAAAAGTGTACCGAACACATGTGTACATTGATCTTGTGTATCTATTTCTAAATGTGTGAAAAGAATTTCTTTACTCACAAGGTCACCAAGTTGGGTAAACAATCTTGCAAAAAAGCCATCAAATCGCCTGCTGAAGATGAAAGCAACCAAGTTGTTAGATAAAAGCAGTAGCTTTGAGTCCGTCAGCAAAGCCCATGAGAACTTTGGCTTTGCACTGTGCTTTTATCTGCTAACTAGTCTGCACCAGTGCGTCAGTTGTCTTTTGTCTCAAGAACATGCTGCGAAGGTTACGTGCTCGGTTGAATGCGTCGTCCTTAACACCTTCAGCGTATTTTTCAAAAATTGTTCAGAGAAAATAAGACAGACTGTACACACATAAAAAGTGTACCGAACACATGTGTACGTTGATCTTGTGTATCTATTTCTAAATGTGTAAAAAGAGTTTCTTTACCCAAAAGGTCACCAAGTTGGGTAAACAATCTTGCCTCTTTCTCAGAAAAGCCATCAAATCGCCTTCGCAGATGAAAGCTACGAAGTTGTTAGATAAAAGCGCTAGTTTTGAGTCCGTCAGCAAAGCCTATGAAAACTTTGGCCTTTCACGGTGCTTTTATCCCTTCTAACTAGTCTACACCATTGCGTCAGTTGTCTTTTGTCTCAAGAACATGCTGCGAAGGTTACGTGGTTGGCTGAATATGTCGTCCTTGACATCTTCAGCGTATTTTTCAAAATTTGTTCAGAAAAAATAAGACAGACTGTACACACAATAAAAAATGTACCGAACACATGTGTAAATTGATCTTGTGTGTCTATTTCAAAATGTGTAAAAAGAGTTTCTTTACTCACAAGGTCACCAAGTTGGGTAATCAATCTTGCACAAAAAAACCATCAAATCGCCTGCTGAAGATGAAAGCAACGAAGTTGTTAGATAAAAGCAGTAGCTTTGAGTCCGTCAGCAAAGCCCACGAGACCTTTGGCTTTGCACTGTGCTTTTATCACTGCTAACTAGTCTACACCAGAACGTCAATTGTCAATCGTTTTTCTCAAGGTTGAGAAGGTTACGTGCTTGTTTGAATGCGTGGTCGTTAACATCTTCAGCGTATTTTTCAAAATTTCTTCAGAGAAAATAAGACAGACTGTACACACACCATAAAAAGTGTACCTAACACATGTGTAAATTGATCTTGTGTATCTATTTCTAAATGTGTGAAAAGAGTTTCTTTACTCACAAGGTCACCAAGTTGGGTAAACAATCTTGCAAAAAAGCCATCAAATCGCCTGCTGAAGATGAAAGCAACGAAGTTGTTAGATAAAAGCAGTAGCTTTGAGTCCGTCAGCAAAGCCCATGAGACCTTTGGCTTTGCACTGTGCTTTTATCTGCTAACTAGTCTACACCATTGCGTCAGTTGTCTTTTGTCTCAAGAACATGCTGAGAAGGTTACGTGCTGGGTTGAATGTGTCGTCCTTGATATCTTCAGCGTATTTTTCAAAATTTGTTCAGAAAAAATAAGACAGACTATTCTATTTCACACAATAAAAACAAATGTACAGAACACATGTGCACACTGATCTTGTGTATCTATTTCTAAATGTGTGAAAAGAGTTTCTTTACTCACAAGGTCACCAAGTTGGATAAACAATCTTGCAAAAAAGCCATCAAATCGCCTGCCGAATATGAAAGCAACCAAGTAGCTTTGAGT